CATTATTTAATTTTATTTTTGAGATATTATTAATTATTTTCATATTTGAAAACTTTAAAAATTATATTCATCAAATTTTATATAAAATTAATCATATTCTTTTTATGTGTAATTTGTTAAAATATTATTGATTGATAAGTTTATTTTATAAGTTGATTATTTATTATAGTATTGTTGATTAAATATATTATCACTCTCATATAACTCGTAAGGATAAATTAATTTATTCTATATTGAAATTAATTTTTTTAGAATAAATACATTAATTATTATTAATTTTTAAAGTTATATCTTTTAATTTTTTATTTGAAACGTGAAATATGTAATTGAATAATAAATAAAATATCAAAATTTATAATAATTAAATAAATCTTCATCATAATATTGTTCTCAATCCTTTATCATTATCATTTTTTATCTAAATATTTTTATTTAATTTTTTATTATAACAACTCTTTTGTAAGTTTAATATAATTTTTTTTGTATTTAATATTTAAAATTACATTACATCTGCTTAGTAAAAAATTATTAATTTTGAAGTGAGGCATCACGCATCCATTAGAACCTGCTTTGTAACAAATTCCCACTGTCTCCACATTTGCTCGTGCTTAAAAAAAAAAAAAAAAAAGAAAGATAAATTGATTAAATTATTTTTCAAAAATATTTTTTGACACTGATCATGTATAGTAATTAATGGGTGGTATGAATTAATGGGTAAAGCTGCCCTCTGAAAAGATACGGGAATATAATAGTACCCATGTAGGGGCTATATATTTGTATCTTCAAAATGCTAATGATTTTAGTCTGCAATCATTCCGTTTAAGAAACTTCTTCGATACTGCCTCAAAAGATTCTCCTGTTCCTATTCCTAACCTTTCCTTCAATCATTGACACTCTTTTAACATATTAATTTCCCCTTTTTTTTCTTCAACTTCGTACTCTATTCACTAATGGAAACTCTTTTCCTTTCTTATAGATTGGTGTAATAAACCGATGCTAATTAACTATACTTAGCCTGCAGGGAGGTGATTTCAAAAGGAGGTAGTGAGTGCATACGAAGGATTGGAATACTGGTGGAAGTAAAAGAGAGGCCAAGTGAGGGGTTTTCATGTAGATTAATTGTCATCATGCGGTGGTTTTTACATGAAATATTTGAAGTATCCTTTATATTTAATTATATACTTGTATTAATTTTTTTTTTTATACATCAAATAACAGATTATATAATCGAAACAGTTTTTTTGTTTCTTTTCTACTTATCTCAAGATTCTAACTCTATATTTTCAACTTGAAGTTTCAAATTCTTATAATTACACTCTCATTAATAATAATGGTAGTAAAATAAAAAAATAGTTTTTCTAACTAGTAAGAAATGGATTAAAGGTAAAATTTATTTTTTTAAAATAATTTTTTATAGTAAAGATAAAAATATTGATTTTGCTTTAATCAACTAATTAATTAAAAATAACCACGGGACAATTGTGTTAAAATAAAAATCAAATTTTGTGTTTTTAATATAAATTAATTAAAAAATAATATATTTATTACATGTTAACTGTACTCCAAAATAAAGTTTAAACAAACCCAAGAAAAGAAAAGCCATTCAAAAAAGAAAAGCAGACCGGTAATTTATAATTAATTGATCCAGTAACAATATGCGTACCTAATTCCAATATTGGATTTTGAAGTTAAAATTTAAATTAAAAGTTGTTTTTAAAAAATAATTTTTTTTATCAAACTGTATATTAAAAAATATGGTTATATAGGAGTAGTTTGAATATTAAAATTATTAAGATATATATCTTTAATAAAATTGTTTGTTATAATCATTTATTAATAATATTTTAATAGTTTTAGTAATTAAGTTATATAATAGAAGTATAATTTAATCTAAAATAAATGAAATTAAAAAAAAAAAACCGAAAGGGCAATTATGAGAGAGTGGGTGTTTAAAACAGGCCGCCCCTTTCTTTGGCCGCTTTCCCTTTTGCCATAAAGTGAGAGGCAAGATCAATCTAAAGGATCTGTTGGGCAATTCTCATCTAAATTACATTAATATCACTGCTTGTCATCCTGCATGTGTTATACAATCCACGTACAAGACATTCTGTCCGAATGTTGCGCAAGCAGACAAGAGCATCAAGGGTCCTCATTGAAAAAAAAAAAAAAACAAAACCCACTTGTACATAGACTTCCGTGGGGTATGTAGTTGGAAATTAAGCAAGCTAGAGCAATGCATCAAAATTAACCCCATTTTTTCATAA